ATCGCTTTTCAAGCAGAAAGTTTGGAGCTCGGTGGTTGATTGGAGATGGACGGCACGAGGCTCATGTAGCATCGCTCAATCAATCGAGCCTGCAGGAGGTCCAGTGATGAAGAGAAGGCCTTGCTGCCGAAATAGGAGTTGCAATGACGAGCACCTCGTCCGGTGATCCAGACTTCGCCAATCGATGATGTAAAGGGATGCAAAGGGGTGGAGCGGATGTGTTGCGTACGATTGGAATTGATCCACCCTCATTAAGATGAGGAGTAAACCAACCGTTTCTAAAACCATTAATTGGTGCCAAGGTGCCTATATATGAGCTGTGTCGTCCTGCTGTTTCGTCGGCCCTACTTGCTCCCGGAGTACCACTACAAATCGCAATCCCTGCGCTCGTTCAGTTCAGTCTGAAGTATTTTTTGCTGAGCCACGGCCGACGGCCACTCCTCCCACGACCAAGATGCCCCTCCCAACTCCGTTCCATTCTCAAAGTGTCTCGCAAACCCTATGTGTGCTCAGGCAGCAGCGCTGGCAGTGAAAGAGATGCGAGGGAGGAGCGTATTGTGGCCTTATCTCCCTCTGCTTGACAATACAAGCCCCATTTTCCTTCGAAATGGCGACATGGCGATGCTCCCATGCTGGCAGCCATGCATCCGACGACTGCGCCATCTTCCTCGCCGTCAGCCCCGACGACGTCACCACCCCGGCGAGAGGAAGAGGAGATGGGAGCTGCCGCTTTGGGCGCGGATGGATTCGTCGCTACGGGTGGAACCTATTAGGAGTTGTGGTGCTTGAGATACACTAAGCAGGCAAGCATGTCAGGTAAGGTCCATATAGATCAGTGAATCTTATGTAAATACGTACGTAGAAGGCAAAGAAGTCAACTACGCCTTGTGTCTCCAGTAGAAAAAGAAGTCAACTACGTACGTCTTGTGTCTTCAGTAGTTCGGTGCTAATAACACACGTATTGCTGCTTTAGGAAGCTTCGTGTGTCATATCAATAGCAAATACTCGAGCAAGTGCTGTAGGTGAGCTCCTGTGCATGGCGCGCGGGCCAAACCTATTGATATCTTATTTCTATGTTCAAGGATGCGCTTTACAAATTTTGGTGCCAACTTCGCCAAGAAAAAGAAGAACTTATAAACTGATGTTCAATTTAATTTTTCATTGGCCCAGTGTATTTAAATGTTACCTGGATTAATACCACTATATGTAAGGAATATTATGTTCAATACTTATTTCACTATTATTACATTATTATGTATTTTTTGTGAAACTACCAAAGTTAGCAAAAGTGGATCGGAATGAAAGTTTCCATTTTAGTGCCGATTTCATGCAAAATTATTCACAAAATAGTCAAAAGAGCAGGAACAAGAAGATGGTAACATAACTTTCTTATGTTATCCTTACAGATGGCTTTTGCTCCATCCAGTAAAATGGTCCTTTCCTCTGTCTAGCTATATGTGTTACATATTTGACCCAATTTTGTTTTGTAAAATGATTGAAATTCCCTCACTTCAATTACTGACATTGTATAGACAACTTTTACCAAATTTAACTTCCATGTTTCATTTCTCATATAGGAAAGAAAATTCAAACCATCTTCTTGAAAAAATGGACGGGTGCGGCAACGCGCGCCATCCATGATCTAGTCTGTTATTAACCTACATGCTTAGCTTTAATATTAGAGCTTTGCATGAGGTATATTGCGTAGCTTATCAAATACCACTTCTGCTTCGGTACACTAAAAAGAACCGAGGATCGTGGACTGAAGGAAGAAATGCATTGAAGAAACCTATTTTTGCAGTGTATCTTTTTCTTTTAGTTTTTCTACTAGGTGGTTACGTCATCTTCTCATTGAGTTAGAGATTGACTGAAGACCAATGACTGCTAAAAGTAAAATGCAGAATACTGAGAGAATTCATGACCGGTGGACGCCACATGCAAAAATGAGGAAAATGACACGCAATGTATTTTTTGGGGGATATATGCTTAAAAATACATCTGCCTGCCCTGTGATGCTACCGATTGGTTTGTCATACATGCTGATATCTTATTCTGATTAATTGCCTTTTTTTGCGAAACACTCAGGATTCTTTTATTCAGCTGCAAACATATTGCATTCATTTTGGATACATCTTGCAAGGAAAGGTGGAGTAATTCCAGACCACTATACACAAGTTCTCACAATTAACCTGTATTGCACATAAGTGGGCAACAAAGTTAGCCTCACGTCTGACAAAGATCAATCTACAATCTAGTAACTGTGAGGCCATCTCTTGAGTCTGTTGAAGGATTCCCATAATTTCAGACCTGATGTTGACGAGCCTCCCAAAGCTGTATCAAATTGTGAGTAAATAGCATAAAACTACTACTTTACAGGCTAGGGTTTTAAAAAACTACCAAAAATATTTTTTTCTCTAATAACTACCAAGTCGGGGGTTGGCTGTTTCAAAAAACCCAAATCGCCGTGTGATTTAAAATCAATCCAGATTGTGACAAGTTGGGCCCGCACCTAAACAGGACGTTTGTTTGACTGTTTGTTTGACTGTTAGCTTACACATGGGGTCCACATGTCAGCCTCAACCTCCTATTTTGAATCATTTCCTCTCTGCCTCATTTCGTCGAGCACCTTGTGTGCGTGCAGCTCGATGGGGAGGAGAGCTCGGTTGCTCATCGGGGGACGAGAGCTTGGTTGCTCGTCGGGGAGGAGAGCTTGCTAGATCCGGCGCGCGGCCTCAGATGTGACCATGGCGGGTCAGGCGGCGGAGGTCGAGGTCCAAGGCACGCTGGCGCCGTTCATGGCCGTACGCGGGCGGCGGGGCGCAGCCGTCGCCGGCCAATGCCGGCGGCTCGATTCCGGTGGCTGCCGTAGCCCCGACCTGGCCACCCTCGCCGGCGTGATGCCGGGCCGAGCTCGGAGGGCGCATCAATGGCCGCAGCCGGCGAGCTTCAGTTCGAGGCGGGAGAAGGAAGGAAACATGCGGGGTTGGCTGTTGGAGTGCGGCAGTCGGCGGCGACCTCGCCGGCGACGGCGGGTTACACCGGAAAGCCGGATCGACGGGTGGCGGCGCTACCGCGCTGGGTCGCGCTGCTGTCGTCCGTGGCTGGGGTGGGGAAAAACTTCATTGACTTTTTTCATTGCAAATTTTATTGAGAATGACATGTGGGCCCTGCCGGTCATAACGGTCAACGTAACTGTTCAGTTAACCGCGTTGACTTTTGTGCCACGTGGGACCTGACGTGTGGGCCACATTTGACAGAAAATAGTTTAAATCTTAAACACACGTTGATTTGGGTTTTTTGAAACAGCTAACCTCTTACTTGGTAGTTATCAGAGAAAAAAATATTTTCGGTAGTTTTTTGAAACCCTAGCCTGTAAAGTAGTAGTTTTATGCTATTTCCAAGTTCAGCACCATCACGGCATATGAGCGCTTACGACGACAGGGCATTAGGCACAGAACTGTACCAACGACTTCTAGCAGCAAGGAGGCGACCCATACTATCTCGTGCCACACATCTTGTAGCCCTAATACCAGTCGTAGGTATACCTGGCCAAACGGGCCGGCCCGGCACGGCACGGCCCGGCCCATCGTAATCGTGCCTGGCCCGGCACGGCCCGCCAGGGCACGATTACTATACGGGCCGTGCCGTGCCGGCCTGCGTGCTGCGCCCCCAGGCCCAGGCACGGCCCAGTTAGTAAATGGGCTGGCACGTTGGCCCGTTTAGCACGGTGGGCCGCATATTTTCAGCATGTTATTTGCCGCATTGAGCGTTTTTTAGCCTATTTTTATATACTGGGCCATATATAGATGTATAAAAAAATAAAAAAACGTAATCAGGCCGTGCCGTGCCGGCCCGCGTGCCCAGCCTCCAGGCCCAGGCACGGCCCAGGGCGTGCCGCGTGCCAGGCCCGGCCCGTTTAGACCGTGCCGTGCCTGGCCCAAGGCGGGCCGTGCCGCGCGTGCTCACGGGCCGGCCCGAAAAGAACGGCCCATTTGGCCAGCTATAGTCGTAGGATTAAAACTTCCATCTACATTTATCTTGCTAGTGTTTTGTGGTGGTGGGTTCCAGTTAACTAGTTTCTTCTCATGATGAGATCAGTGTGGCGAGTATCTGCAGATACCTGTACATTTGCTACCCAACATGTGTTTTGATGAGAGGTGCATATTTCCCCCTTTTTCCTTGCTTCAACTGGTCCATATGGCATACGCCGCTGTTGTGATAGTCTTAGCATCCTTGGAGGAGCATGCCTTCCCGCGATGATATATGAAGCCCTAGGTTTTTGGGTGAAGACAAGGGAGTTTGACGCCCGCTGCATCATTTAGAACTCTCCATATTTGAGTAATAGATGGACATGGAATTATTGCATGGAAGATAGACTCGTCATTATTTCCACAAAATGCATATGCCCCAATAAGTTCAATATGTCGTCTCTTTAAAACACCCATGGTAGGAATGAACTCATGAAGTACCCTCCACCAGAAATGCTTGACTTTTGGGAGAACTTTCAATTGCCGACATTGCCTCGACATGGGGTGAACAGAATCTCACGATGATGTTGGGTCAATATGCCGATGTGCAGCTACACTATTCAATAGACAATGATAGGCTGAGCGCACCGAATACATACCATGCTTCTCGAAGGCCCAGACTAAGGTGCCACAGTCCGGTCCTCCTAAAGGAATAGAGAGGATGTGTGTGACAGAATTCTTCAATATAGATGAAAAACCTTCAGCACGTAATAAAAATAAATACGGTGATATGAGATCACCTTGTCTAAGTCCTCTGGATGACTTGAAGAACCTTGAATATTCCCCATTCACACGCACAGGAAATGAGACCGTACGAACACATTCCATTATTCTTTGGATTTACGATCCACATGTAGCAACAGAATTAGATGAATGACCACCCCACAAAAAAAATGAATATCCAAAGATGAAACATCCTTTAGGTCGATATCTTTTTCTTGAACTTTCAAGATATATAAATCCGCGTGTCACTCAATCTTTGAGCTGAGGAATTAGAGGTGAGGATTCTACGTAGCAGTTTGGAGGGTCAGGCAGTGCCTGAATCTGAGCCCCGTTCCTGGTCTCCAGCATCTGCACCACTTGGTGCATGGTCGGCCGCAGCTGCGGGTTCGGCTCGATGCACCAGAGCGCCACGCGCGCGAACTGCTCTACCTTCTCCATGTCCTCTACGGTCTCAACCTCCGCATCGCCGTCTAGCATCAGCTCCGTCCTTCGCGCGACCACTAGCTGCGCCGCCCAGCCGAACAGCGTGACCGTCTCATCGTCATCTACTGTGCCCGTCGGCAGGTTGTCCTGCACCACACGCTCCTGGCACCTCCGGCAGCAGATCATCTCCAGCAGCACAACACCGAAACTGTACACGTCCGCCTTGGTGTCGACGCGCGCTTCGCTGCGGAGCCACTCGGGCGCGATGTACCCTCTGGTGCCCCTGATATGGGTCACCGTGGTGTGCACTTGCTGGCTCCCCAGCAGCTTGGAGATCCCGAAGTCGGTGATCCTCGGGACGCCGTGGTCGTCTAGCAGGATGTTGTCAGGCTTAATGTCGCAGTGGATGACGGGGGCGCTGCAGCCGTCGTGGAGGTACTCGAGCCCCCGGGCGATGGCCAGGGCGGCCTCGGCACGCCAGCACCATGGAGGCCGCCTCTCTTGGTTGACGAAGAGGGCTCCACGTAGCGACCCGCCAGGCATGAACTCGAAGACCAGCATCCGATGCTTGCCTTCTTTGCAGTAGCCGATCATACGGACCAGGTTCCGGTGGTGGATCTGCCCGATGGACTGCACCTCGTTGGTGAACTCCTGCTCGCTGTACTCGTTGGAGTCGATGAGCTTCTTCACCGCAATGGGGTGTGGCTGCGGCGATCTTATCGTCCCTTTGTAGACCTCCCCGAAGCTCCCTTTGCCCAACAGTTTCTGAAAGCCGTTGGTGGCTTGGTGTAGCTCTTTCCAGCTGAACGCTCTCACGCCATAGTTCAATGGCCGCTGGCTATCGCCGTCCCCGACGAGGTAGCGCCGTGCCACGAGGCCGCTGATGGTGATCAACAGGAGGCCGGAGACGCAAAGGGTGGCGATCTTGTAGGGACGTAGTATCTTTCTCGTTGCCGCCGACGGTCCATCCGTGTAAGGAGCATTCCCCTTGCGCACTTTGATCAGCGTCGTCGTCGTGATGTCGTCCGCCCGCCGGCCGTACGTGAGCGCCCCCACCTCTGCGCAGTCGGATCCGTTGATCATCAGCGCGGCCGCGCAGTAGCAGTGGCTGAGGCAGTAGCTCCTGCACTGCCCCTCCGTGACCGACGGGTACTTCTTGTGGTACAGCGAAATCTCCCAGGTGGTGTTGGGCATCTCGACGAACGAGAACTCGTCGGAGCCGCCGTTCTCCCCGCCGCAGCTGCTGTGCGGCTCCAACTCCGGCGTGCAGCCGCTGTCGGTGTGCTGCGCGTCGACGTAAGTGTACCCGCTCGGGCACAGGCAGCTGAGCCGATCTCTGGTCTCCACGCAGTAAGACCCTGGGCCGCACAGGCCCTGCCTCAAGGACGTTATCTTGGTGCAGCCTCCGTCGCCGGGGAGCGCTCCCGACACCGTCCAAGGCGTGTTTCCGCCGCCGTTTCTAGGTCGGGTGTAGGTACGGACGATGCCGTCAGTGTCCATCCTGGCGAAGTGCAGGTAGTCGCCGCCATGGCTGCCGGAGCTGCTCGCCGGCGGCGAAATCAAGCTGTGAATGGTGCCATCGTGAAGCGTGTAGTTGAGAAAGCCCCGGTCGTCCAGGGTGACGGTCGTGTTGTCGCCGGAGCCGTAGGTGTTGGTGGCCCAGTAGGAGTTGTGCTGTATGTGACCGGTGAAGAGGTCGATGCAGAGGACGACGTTGCCGTCGGGCTGGGCCGCCAGGCTGAACCGCCCCGTGGCGAACTCCGCGTCCGCGCGCTTGGAGAAGAGATACCCCCCGAGCGGGGACCCTGGCGACGGAGCCAGGGGCTGCCCGGGCAGCAGCGTGTCCGTCGGGTACCGGAAGCTCTCCCAGAGCACGGTGTCCCCGTCGCCGCCGAGGAACCGAGCATTGCCAGAGTCGATCAGCGCGAGCACGGACCCGCGTTGCATGCTGGGGGTCGGGGCCCTCCACAGCTCCTGGCCGCTGCCGTCGGTGAGCGTGAGGTGGCCGTCGGCCGTGACGCTGAGGACGGACTCGTTGGTGGCGATCGGCGTGTCGCCCATGGTCGTCTTTTTCGCAAACCACACTACAGACTGCGGCTGGGAGGAGCTGCCGTCGTCCCCGAGGCGGAACCAGGTGGCGAGGATGAACTTGGTCGGGTCGGAGTCGAGGGCGCGGAAGCCGAAGGCGAAGCCGCCGGACGGGCTGGTGATGTACCCGGGCGGCGTCAGGGCGTCTCCCACGGTCAGGTTGGTTCGCGCCATGGCCACCGGCAGCAGACCGGTTTGCTGGGCGGCGAGGCAGAGGAGAGCAAGGCGGGGCAGCAGCGCGTGCATGTGCATGATCGACGCGCGCAGCTTCGTGCTCAGGTATCAGCGCGTACGTACTACGTGCTCTGGCCGTTACCTTAATGGCGTGTGGCCTGCCCCCACCTCTGTGTGCTGCGTTCTTTTTTCTATATCTTTGGTCAAAGCAGAGATGTTTTGATTTTAAGCAAAACCTACATGCAGACTAAAAGAACGGAGAGAGAGTATTTGCCAAATAGAAATGGTCAGGCCTCCCCTGACCTTACGGCAACGCCACTCGGTGGCAAAAGGCTAGAAATTGTCTCGTCTTTCGCCCAGTACGTCATGGCCGGCGATCGAGAACTTTGACGGAGCCATCGGCCATGGCGCGTCAAAAGAAAAGGAAAAACCGGGACATGACCGACCGACCGACCGACCGACCGACGGGATGCCGCCGCTCATTTCCCCTCCCCGACCTCTAAACTCTATCTCTGGCTGCCACGGCTCCGCGGATAGTCAGGTATGGGTACACACGCCCGCTGCCCATCGCAAGTACACCGCCGTGCGTCCCACTCCCCAGCGCCGTCATGTATGTTTTGAATTAGAATGATCGAATCCATTGATCAATGGTTACAGGCCCCCTTTTATACGTCCCGAAGAGACACGGCGATCCTTTGAGGGGGCGTCGGTTCTAGGAGATCGAAGGAAGGCGTCGGTTGCGGGACAAACCGTAACGAAGGCGTCGGTTACAGAATTAGTCTTAACACTCCCCCTAATCTAGGCTGGACCATGTAGATCATCTTCACTATTGTTCAGGAGGTTCTATCATCTCAAAAGATTCTCCTTCAAAAGTTCTTCATAAATTTTTTGATGAGATCCTGAAACATATACTCACAAAGAAAGATAGTATAATGTGATGTGATTAAAATGAGGATATTTCAAGAAGAGACTCCCCCTGACACCTGCAAGTCCCTAAGTCTTCACATACCAATTCCATGAACACATTTCTGGAATGTAAATTTTGGTAGAGACTTGGTAAATAAATCAGCAAGGTTGTCGCATGATTTGACTTGCCAGAATGCTTATTTCTCCACTTATCTGAAGATTATGGGGGAAAACCATTTAGGAGAAATATGCTTGGTGATATTACTCTTGATGTATCATGTTTGCATCTGCGTAACACAGACCGCATTATCTTCATAGATAATGGTAGGTGATCCTATCGAACCAATTCCACATGACTGTTGTATGTGGTTTATCATTCTGCGAAGCCATACACATTCACATGTTACTTCAAATAATGAAATTATTTCAGAATGATTGGTAGATGTTGCCACCAGAGTCTGTTTCGAAGACTTCCATGATATAGCAGTGCCACCATGTAGGAACATGAAACCAGTTTGAGATCTGGCATTATGAGGATCAGACAAATATCCAATCATATCAGAGTCCTGATTTTTCTGGAACTGGAAAAATAGACCAAGATTCTTTGTGCCTTGGAGATATCGAAAGATATTCTTCACTCCAGACCAATGACGTTTGGTGGGAGCTGCGTATGTCTAGCAAGTAGATTCACTGCAAATGCAATATCAGGTCTTGTGCAATTTGCAAGATACATAAGCGCTCCAACGGCACTGAGGTATGGAACTTCAGGTCCCAGCACCTCTTCTCCATCATCCCTTGGTCTAAACGGATCTTTCTCCACATCTAGAGATCGAACCACCATGGGAGTTTTAGATGGATATGATTTGTCCATATTGAATTTCTCCAATATTTTTTGGATATAGGCAGATTGGTGTGCCATGATTCCTGAGGGAAGGTGCTCAAGTTGAATACCTAAGCAAATTTTGGTTTTACCCAAATCCTTCATCTCAAATTCCATCTTTAGGTGATTGTGTGCTTCATCAATGTCTGGTGTGCTACCGATGATGTTGAGATCATCAACATACACAGAAATGATGCAAAATCCTGTAGAGGACTTCTTGATGAAAACACATGGGAAATCGGCACTATTGGGGTAACCTTTCTGAAGAAGGAACTCACTGACTCGGTTGTACCACATCCGTCCCAACTGCCTTAAGCCATATAATGACTTATTCAGCTTTACACAATACATGTTGCGTTTTGCATTTTTATTTGGGACAGAGATTCCATCAGGAACCTTCATATATATGTCCGAATCTAGTGACCCATAAAGGTATGCGGTCACGACGTCCATCAACTGCATAGATAGACGATTTTGCACTACCAAGGATATAAGATATCGAAAAGTGGTTGCACTCATTACTGGAGAATATGTTTCAGTGAAATCAATGCCGGGTTTCTGCGTGAAACCTTGTGCTACGAGCCTTGCTTTATATCTCACCACCTCATTGTTCTCATTCCGTTTCCGAAGAAAAACCCATTTGAATCCCACAGGGAAAACACTGGGAGGTGTAGGTATTGCTTCAGTGAATACCTTTCTTTTGTTAAGCGAGGCAATTTCTGCTTGGATTGCATCCTTCCATTTAGGCCAGTCGGAGCGCTTTTGGCACTCAACGATAGACCTTGGATCATGATCAGTGAGAAGGGTATCTGCAATCTTTTCAGCAAAATATATGTCAACAGTCATAGTCTTACGGTCAAATGATTCTCCAAAATCAACATAGTTGATGGAAATTTCCTGCACCCCTAGTGACTCTTCGTGATTTCCCAATACGATCGAGTCTGGGTGTTCCGATGTCCCAGTCAGTTTGTGCACACTGGAACTGGGTTGTGGAGGTTGCCCTTCCACTGGGTGTATACTACCCATCAGGTGTTTGTCAATGCTGAGTTGACCTGCATTTGCTGACTCTGAGGTTTTTCTCCTTGATTTCCTTTGCTGCTTTCTAAAAGCATGCTCCAGGTCAGAGGCCGTACTACTCCCCCTCTTTTTGGGAATAGGGAGTTGAGTGGTTTTTATTGATACCTCCACTCTTTCTGGCGCATTTCTGGCCGGGTTTAAGGATTTTGTAACACCTTTCAAATCAGTAAATGAATCTGGCAGATTATTTGCAATATGTTGCAAATTAATGATCTTCCGAACTTGAAGTTCGGTCTCATGGGTACGTGGATCAGAGGATGAAATGGCATGAGCATTCCAATCAATTTCCGGGCATTCTTTTTGGTACTTGAAATCTCCCCCTAATGCCAGAAAATGTTCCTCATTAAATATGCAATCAGCGTGACGGGCTGTGAACAGATCCCCAGTTAGGTGTTCCAGGTACTTGATAATCGACGGCGATTTGTACCCCACATAGATCCCCAACTTCCTATGTGGACCCATAGATGTCCGCTGTGGTGGTGAGATCGGGATGTATGCAGCACATCCGAACTTACGCGGATGGGAAATGCTTGGAGGATTTCCACGTACCAATTCCAGAGGGGAAGAACTGTGATATGCAGTTGGCCTCAATTGTATCAAGTCAGCAGCGTGTAAAACAGCGTGATCCCAACAAGAGGTTGGCAAGTTGCAATTCGTCAATAAAGGTCTTGCAATGAGTTTGATCCTCTTAATCAATACTTCAGCCAAACCATTTTGTGTATGGACATATGGAACAGAGTGCTCAACTTCAATCCCCAAAGCCATGCAATAATCTTTGAAAGCACGTGAGGAGAATTTTGCAGCATTGTCCATTCGAATTGACTTAATTCGACTTTCAGGATAATGGGCTTGCAACTTAATGACTTGCCTCATTATTTTGGCAAATGCATGGTTTCATGTGGATAGAAGACACATATGTGACCATCGTGTAGATGCGTCAATCAGAACCATGAAATACCGGAAAGGTCCAGATAATGGGCTGAATGGGACCACAAATGTCTCCTTGAATACGTTCAAGGAACTGAAGTGGTTCAACTTGTATTTTGAGGTGTGAGGGCCTCAAAATTAG